TTTGGAAAGTGAATTACATCTTTTGAACTATTGTTTTTTTAGAATTGTGATTCTTGCGCTTCATTTAGGAATTAACCCCACTTTTTTTAAATTGTTTTCACCTACCTTACCCATTTCCAATACATTACAACCCTTTTAAGACCCTTAGACTTTAGAGGTGTTCGGTTCTCAAACGGTGGAGGGAGATACCTTTCAACCCTATGGAAAGATTATGCGTAATCGAGATGTCGGGATACCTTTGTTATTTCCTCAAAACATCACTTCTTCCGGTTCCTTCGAGGAATCACGAGGGGCCAATTAGGGTGGTGATTTGAAGCAAAAGGGGAGGACGTGGCCGGTTTGGTCGGGTTTAGAGGGAAGCATGATTTCTTTGTTCTCTATGCTTGGTTTAGGTCTTGTTCGCATTTGATCAACGATATCTTGGATTGTGTGTCTCGTTGCTTGTTTGAGTGAGTTTTCCTTCCGTGCATGGTTGTTCTAAGTAGGATCCATTGATTTCATTCCGTGCTTAATTTGATTTGTTCGCAATGGCATAGTTTATTTGATCTTGTGTGTGTTTCCCTTGGTTTTTGCTCGAGGACTAGCAAAAGTGTAGCTTGGGGGGTTTTGACAAGCGCACTTTAGGGCGCGCTTTAGAGCATATTTTAGGATGATTTTGGATGTATTTGGGGCCGCTTTGGCCGATTATTACCTTGTTATGCTTACGTTCCCCATATTACGTGCTTCACGGGTTTTCGGTTTGTTTTTGATGTGTTTTCAGGTAATATCAACCGAGTTTAATCGGATCCCGAGCCCTTGATGCGTAACCGAGCTATCCTTGACCGGAGTCCGAGGAGTTAAGGAAGTTCAAGTGTCGTGCATTGATTACATAGCACAGGCAGCACGGCCGTGTTACCATAGGCACACCCGTGTTGGCCTATAAGCAAGCAACCCCAGGCAAGGCAGCACGGCCGTGCAAGCCAATAGCACGGCCGTGTCAGTATCCACGCACCCGCATGGCCGTGCAGGCCATTAGCACGGCCGTGCCAGATGTTGCCCGTGCCCGTGTCAGCTTCAGTATGAGCCCCATGCTAGAGCATATTCAGCACGGCCGTGTCATTTTTAGCACGGCCGTGCCAGGAAGCTGCACGGCCGTGCAAATAGACGTGCCAATTTGAAGAAGAAATCCGGTTTACTTACTGACAAGCTAGCACGGCCGTGCCAAATACAGCACGGCCGTGCTGATCTAGGGTTAACTGCGCGCTTGACTTCTCCGCATTAGAAGACGTATATAAGGCCCAACTTTAAGAGGATTCCGCAGACAGTTTTAGAGATAGTTTTGAGAGCCTTTGTAGAGAGTTATTGGAGAACGTTCTTAGTATTAGAGATTCATTAGTTTTCTTAGAGATATTTCTAGAGATTTTAGTTTTCTTGGATTGATTTGAAGCAAGATTTGCGAAGATTCTTTGTATTATTCATTGACGACGGATATCAAAGTTCTGAACTTTTCCATTGATTCGCATCAATACAATTGGTATTATTCATTCTTGTTTATTAATCAAGCTTTATTATTCCTTAATCAGAATTCATGTTTATATCTATTATGCTTTTGGAATTCATTATTGCTTTGATTATGAATATGTGTGAGTAGTCTCCTAGCTAGGGTTTTGGGATGAAACCCGGCCTAGGTAATCTATGTAATTGAGGATTGATTTTGATAAACGGATTGTGATTAAATTGATTATATGCGATTGCATGTTAATTCATTATAATAGGAGTAGCTAACCTAGAATCTTGAATTTGATTGCATGATATTCTTGATTTGAACAAGAGATTGTGAATTAAGTATTTCATTATTGAATGTGGTTTGATTATGTATCGAGTAATGTTAAGTGCATGAGAAATCCAAGCTTAGTATTGCCCGTTGTCTTCCTATCACATGATATTGATCAGACTTATAGTCTTTGCATATCCCGTTTGTCTCTGTGATTCCTTGTTGCTTAGTTACCAATGGTTAGGCGGATTCCCGTTCTCCCTAGTGTCTTAGTTTATTGATTTATTCCATCTTATTAGTAGTATTTTAGAACACCATTTTCCATTGATTTCGAACTAGCTTAGTTTTAAGATTGATTTGCAATTACTCTCGTTCCTCGTGGACCGAACCTTTATTTGCCATTGTACTTGGTTATAGGGTGTTCCTATAAGTATTGTTTGATTGAGAGTTAGATTGTAGCGACCATTTTAACCCTCGTCACCTAGCATAAGCAACGCAACAGTAGCAGCAGCCCGCATAGCGTGCGTGGCCTGCTTGTTCTGTGTGAGAAATATGCGGGCTGCTGCAAAGACCTTGCGTGCGATGTAGCGTAGTGCTCGGCTGCACCTAGTACAAGCATCGCTGCATCAGCAGTAGTACGCAATACGTGCGGGCTGTGCGTGCTTGTATGCTGGGCTGCGTGCACGCATAGCGCCCAGCTAGCAGGCCTAGCCAAGGGGTCAGGCCGCCAGCTAGTCAGCCTTGACGCCCAAGGCTGGCAACAGCAGCTGGCACGCGTGCATTAGATTGTGCTTGGGTAGCCGGTTTTGTGTGGGTTTCTTGGGGAGCAAGGGGAGGGTGGTCCCCCTCCCACCCTTGTGGTCCTCACCTAACCCCTTGCTTTCCATTTGACACTTATTTTTTGTTGATTCATTTTCTTTTAATTTGATTTTTGAATTAAATTAAATTGAATAAATACATTTTTACCTAGGGGTGTTCATATCCTGGGTACCTGGATATTCGGGTACCTGAAAATCCGGGTACCCGGATCTTTGAGTAGTTGATAAGTCGGCCCGTGTCCCGTCCCGGATAATTCGGGTACCCGGTATTCGTGTACCTGAATTATCCGAGACGGGACACGGGTACCCGAATTTTATTTACTTTTTTTTAGATAAATTTGTACCTAAAACTGCTGTAATTTTGTACAAAAATTCTGCTACATATACAATAATAAACCTGTTGTTTTTTTTTAAAAAAAAAAAACTGTTGTAATTTTTAAAAAAAAAACTGCTGTTTTTTTTTTTAAAAAAAAAAAAACCTGCTGTTTTTACTCAACAGTTAACAATAAAACACCTGCTGTATAACCTGCAAATGCAAAGCACCTGCTGTAATTTGTAAACACCAAGGAAAACAACAAGTAAACACCAAAGGAGAGCAGAACATGTCTCGCCATAAAGTCTCAAAAGATTTCTGTTAATACAGATTACAACAAGAGGGAATCATATGTCTAAGTTTAAGTCAACAATTAACAACCTATGTTACATAACAATTAACAACTTATGTTACATAACATTCAATCACTTGTGAGATTCGAAATTTCCATTGTCTCATCAATAACAATCGTCGGTTGCTCCAAAACCAAGTCTTTCATTCTTACAAAACACAAATAAGGCAATAAAATGATCACATATCACATATATTATATATAGTAAAGTAGTGAAATAAAGTAATACGAAGTATATAAAGTTATAAAATCTCCTTCTTCTTCCATATTTTCTAATTCAAGCAAGTTTTCCTCTATAGTAATAGGGACATTGGAACTACGCATCCAATCTTGGCCACAAACAAGACTTTCTACCATTTTTGTGCTCAAAGAAGTGCGAAAGGAATCTAGAACACATCCTCCCGTGCTAAAAGCGGACTCCGAAGCAACGGAAGAAACCGGAATAGCAAGAATATCACGAGCCATAGTCATAAGTATTGGATATGTTTTTCCTTGTGCACTCCACCATGCCAAAATATCAAATCCTCATCACTAGGCTCTAGTTTATCCCCTAAATACTTTTCTAATTCGGTCATTCCTTTGGAAGATGAATCATTCCCAATCTCCCTTACAAAACTATCCCTCAATCGAGATACATTGTTAGAACCCTTTTTTTGTTCTTTCCCACCCATTTCACTTTGACTTGTAGAGGCAATATTGGTAGAAGATGACTCCACCTTTTGTGCATAACAATCATATAATGAATTTAATGTATCTTGAATACGTTGACACAAAATATAAGAATTGCTAACATCATAAGAATTACGCACAATATGCTCTGTATACTTCATCTTATTCCTTGGATCAAGAATCAATGCAATGAACATCAAGATATTAATATTATGAGCATTTGCCCAATACTTGTCAAATTTCAATTTGATTTTTATTGCCATATTCTTAACATCATCATTCGGATCACTAGCATAGTCATAAATGGTGTACCCAATATCATAAATCTCTTCCACAAAAGTATTTTCTGTCACATAACGGGATCCGGGCAATTTCAAAGTAGCATTATAAAAAATTTCAAGAAAAGGCAAGAAACTTTGAATTTTATTCCAATCCTCATCATCGGGAGCACCCCCCATGGGTTGCTTCATAAGCTCTTTAGTGTACGGAGAGAACTATGTTTTCATATTCTTAAACGCTTTCCTAAACACTAAAGCAATCTTAAGCATCAAATAGGTTGAATTCCATCATGTTTCAATATCTAAACAAACAAGACCTTTATAAGTGATATTCTCTTCTTCAACACAAGACTTGAACTTCTGAAGCCTAGAAGGAGAAGACCTCACATATTTCACGGCAGCTCGGACTTTTAAAACAGAAACATTCACATCTTTCAAGCCATCTTTAACAACCAAATTCAAAATGTGTGCAACACATCTCATATGCAAAAACTCAGAATTCAACACACACCCATCCCAAAGATTAAAGATTTTTTTCAAGTATTTTATAGCCAAATCATTTTAGCTAGCATTGTCAACTATTACAGTCATAACCCTCTTCAAATTCCATTCTAACAAACATTTTTCAACAGATTTACCAATAAGCTCCCCAGAATGACCGGCAACAGGACAAAAGTTAATGATTCTTTTATGCAATTTCCAATCATCATCAATGAAATGAGCAGTAAGACACATATATGACAAGTTTTGACCCGAAGTCCATGTATCTATAGTAAGACATACTCTAGAAGACACATTGTTGAAATATTTCTTTAACTTTTTCCTTTGATCAATAAAAAGACCATAACAATCCCTTGTAATGCTAGCACGCGAAGGAGAAACAAATTCAGGAACAGTGACTTTACAAAACTAACGAAAACCTTCACGTTCAACAAAAGCAAAAGGCAACTCATCTACAATTAACATCTTAGCAAGTGCTTTTCTAATCTTATCATGATTAAATCTCCACAATTTAGGAACATTAACAGTTTGGACACTCCCATCAGTATTAATCTTTGTCCTAGACTCAAAATCTAAGATAGTTTGAGATTTATCTTTGTAAAATGGAGATTTTTTACACCTATCAGTGTGTCGATTCATGCCATTAGTTCCATTCTTTGGATCACAACCAATTATTGCCCCACAATAAAGACATTTAGCATGGTTTGGGTCAGTTTTAATTACTTTAAAGTGTTCCCAAGCATTAGAGGGTTTTTTCCTTTTACCTCCTTCTTTTTCAGCTTTTGGTTTCTTCCCCGCTCTTTTCTTCTTAGGCCATATTTTTGGAGCCTTCTCCAAAACCTCTGCCTCATCAGAATCTTGTGCTTCAACAACTTGACTTGAATTTGTCTCCATCAAGTCATCAGAATCATCATCAAATGTTGACATTTTCTGGTTAAAAAAAGAAAACAGTATGATTAAGTATTAAGTAATCAACTAATCATATATTCATATGATATAAATTATTATAAAACAGAATACAAAAACAGAATAATATAAATAAAACAAGTAAAAAAATGAAAACAGAATAACAAAAATGAAAACAGAATAAAAAAGAACAGAATAAATCAATAATCCAGCAGAGATTTGAAGGCAAGTAGTTTAAAGATTATGAAAAGTAAGCAATCTGATTTCAAATGCGTAGAGGAAGCCAGAGCAAGTTGCCATCAGAATTTCAAGAACACAGGTAACCCATCAATTCATGGCTCTATCAGACCATATATTGATATATATACACACCAAATTCGGACATACCAAATTCGTTGCCCTCTGCCCACTCCATAATGTAACAGAAGACTAGATCTAAGCACACACATTTAACAATCACAAACCCCATAACAGAATTTCAAGAACACAAGATATTACACATACGCAATAACCCATCAAATTCCTAACCCAAAGAACACCGACTCCACCATCCATAATCAACAACACAACAAATTATAATGAAGAAAAATTACAACAAACTAACCTGAGGTGGTGAGAAGAAAATGAACAGGACCACGAAATGATTTAGATCTAGCAATTGATGTTAAACAAAATAATTAGATTAATATTAACTAAACTAAATACCATGAAAAAACTTCAAAAATACCATAAAAATAGTACATATTAAACTAACCTGAAGTTTGAGGATGAATCGAGTCGAATTTGATTGATTTTTGACGAAATCGATGGAAGTTTGAGGAGATGTAGAGCACTAGAGCTGTAGGGAATTAGGGATGAGGCGCGATAGAGAAGAAGAAGAGCTGCGTGTTTTTTCTTTTTGGGAGTTATTGGAAGTTTGGAACCCTAGGTTTAGTAAGTGGGCTGGGCTGGCACTAGCAATGTTAAATTTTTTTTTTTTTAAATGGGTATCTGGGTACACGATAATTGCAAAGCTTGTCCCATGTCCCGGCCCATGAAAGTGCTTACCGGGACGGGTACCTGACCCGAAAAAAACAGAAAATTTTGAAAATTTCCCGTTGAGTTTTTTGCGGGTCATCGGGAATTCGGGACGGGACAACCGGGTCGAAGTTTTTTTAACACCCCTATTTTTACCAACTCTCCCACATTGGTGAGAGATTGGAATTTAAGGGCTCCCTTCCCTATAAATACCAATAATTTGGCATTGGGAAGGGACACTTGAGTTGTGAACTTTAAGGGATCTCCAAGAAGAGAAAAACCTTTGTTCTAATACTCTAAGTTCTTTTGGTCTAGCCCCGACTAAGCTTCGGGGTAGGGGTCGTTCGGGTCGGGTCTCGAGGGTGAGAGTCGTTGGAGGCTTGCGCATTTACGAAGCTCTACGCTTTCAAGTTCGAGCTCTAAAAGGAGCGAAGCACGAATCGAGAGTATGATCGTCTTTCTCTCTCTCTTTGTTAATTAATTATGTGATTGTTAATTAATATGTATGTTTAGTTACTTTAATTTGTGTGCGGATTTTGGGATGGTTTCATTCCGCGTAGTGTTGGACACTACGAAACTCAACAATTCCCATACCACCTGACTTCTCCACACTACTAAGGCAAACACCGTCAACAAAACCACTTTTTTTCTTCACAATTGACAATCTTTTTTCATCAATCATCGTCTCCATTACGAAGACAACATTTGGCCTTTCTCTCCAACACAAATTTTGGAGAGCTTTTACAGTCCACAGATTGCCAATTTCGTGGACATTCCAACTTATGATTTTCATTGTTATTTGAGGGCTTGGATACCCCCAAAGCCCTCTACTTAAGAAAAGTTTGATGACAAATCACCACTTTAAGCTACAGATTTAAGCTTCTTCTCACACCCCTCCTCCTTACTACACATATCACCCTCCCTCATAGTATCCCCCCTTCTTTTTTTATTCTCTGTAATCTTATATCGACCCTCCGATACGTCCATAGCCACCTCCCCATCCCCACCTTCACTCGATCTAGCCCATCTTCTCCATTCCCCCCCCCCCCCCCCTCCCCACCTCCTTTTCATTCAAACTCACCCCAGTCATCTCCTTCTCATTCCCCACTTTCACTCCCTCTACACTCGATGCACCCGCAATTGTACTATAAACACCAACAGGTCTCAAGACCATTTTGTCACTGTTTTCAACAACAACCGGAACAAGGTTAATAGCTCGTTCCTTCTACAGCAGCATACATATAGTCTCTTATATACTACTTTTTTTTTTCTTTTTTGAGGCATCCTATATACTACTTAAAACCACTTAAATATAATATAAAATTACATATAGTCCTTTAATTAATTCCGTTTATAATTTAAGGTAACCAATCCCCACTGATTATATTTATAAATATAGTGCTCTATACAAAATTCTAGTAATAATAAAAGAATAAACAATCTGATTTTTGGTGTAAAGTACTCAATTTCAGTACTCCATACTACATAATCTTATTATCAATCCCTAAGCAAAAACACATTAAAATCACAACCGAGGGTTCAAAATTTTGGGCTTTTCAATAAAATAACAATCTAATTAAAAATTATAATATGATTAGTCTAGTCAAAACCATTTAAAACGTAATTAAACATGTTATTAAATAGCTATCGAAATATGAAATATAATTAAAACGAGAGGAAGATGATTTTTTTTCTTTAATACCCACATGTGTGTAGGAGGTAGAGGGAAAAGTGGAGAAACGAGTCAAACAACTGGCTGCAGCGAGCTGATGCCCCGTTAGTGCTAGCGCTCCACCAGTGGTGGTGGTAGTGTTGTTGGAGTAAAGAGAGGAAATGTAGCTGACCGCTCGCCCGATCAGGCGCAATAACAAGTGTTTTTTGATACGTCCGGGCGCCCGGCCGGGCAGTTACCGCCTAATCGGGCGCGAGGTAAAGTTGATTTTCGTCATTTGCTTGCCATGCCGGGCGCGAGAGCAAAGTTGAGATTACATATCACTTTCGCCCAATCGGGTGAATCTCGCCCGACCGGGCGGAAACTCGTCAGATTACCAACGACTCTTTCACTTCCCCTTCCTTTGTAACTTCCCCTTAACACCTATAATTAATGGGATGTTTTTAGGGGTTTTTTACTCACTTTTATTTCTGATTAAAAGCTTTGTCCCTTTGGATTCTTCAACTCTTGATTATCACATTTTTCATTATATATTTTCATGATTCGAAAATCAGATTATAATAATCATCAAACACATTGAGCTAAACACAATTCTCTATTTGGGCATAAGTTTACTAGTCTCCAACCTCCCACCCAAAAGTGTCTTTGTGTGGGAGTGGTGTGTGTAACCATAGGGAATGTACCAGTGAATACAATTGTGCATCCTGGTTGCGCCGGATTTCGTTTTCAAGTCAGTGATTATTATCATGACACACCGAAATTTCTTTGAGGATTATTATCTCTTCTCTTGTTCATTTTGTTAACTATTTATTCTAGACCCTTTTATATTACCACAGTAGTGGCCGGCGCAAAACACAAGAAAAGGGGAGGGGGAAACTGTGAGTGAGAGGAGGGAAAAAGGAGAGGGAAAGCTTAGGGTTTTACTTATAAACAAAATTGGGCGAAGTGGGCAATGCAACTTGATTATAAAGTGAAATATTTATACCTGAAGCCATAACATCTTTGCTATGTAATACTTTTGCTTATTTACTCTTCTTAAAAATAGTTGATGTAGACCATGAGTACTGTTTTTATACAAATTATTTTCTTCAACTAAATCTATAATAAAAGTATTTTAGATTATATTATAATACATCAAAATTATCATACAAAAATATTTAACGTATAAACTCGGATATCGCCTGGGTTAAACACTAGTGTGCCATTAATAATTGAATTGACAAGTTTGCATCCCTCCACTATGTGCCGGTCAAAGTATAACACTTATTAAAACACGGAGGGATTAAATAAATTTACTCCAAAAATAATAATTTTAAGTTTTAATTCTACTATAAAAAATTTGATGTGTCACCAACTCACCGCTAAACATTTACAAAAATAAATTAAATAATAAATAAAATGAAAACAAAATAAAAAGTTTTAACAACTAATGATCAAATAAAGAAAATTTGACAAAAAAAACTAATCAGTATGTAGTAAATTGGGGAAGAAGTGTTGCTTAGGATTTGGGCCTCATCAATTAGATAATGAATTATGTAATAATTGATTAGCCCAAAGGTTTCAATAAGTTAGATTTAGACTCGATTTATGGACTAGGCTTTATTAACTTTAATAAGTTGGATACTTGATATCTAAGTTGTAGTCCTTAATTTAATTTCAACCATATCCTTTAAGATGCATTTTTAAGTCATTTTGCATAAATATACTTTTTTTTTTTAATAAATCAATTCATTAATCAAAAGTCATACGACATCTACAATTGAAATCTAAATCAACAAATACATAAATTTGAACCAAATAAAGGTTTTCTTTATCAAAGCTACGATCGTTGAATAGATCTTGCACTGTGGTACATCTCTCGCACACATCGTTCGAATATACAACTTTTTCGGAGAGACTGTCTAACGATTTGTTGTAGCCGTAGAAATAATTTTCATCTAATTCACTTGAACGCCTTTGAAGATATGACAATCGTTGCGATCTCGGACAACTCTTTACCAACAAATAGATAATAGGACAAAAAATGATTACCTTTTTTAATAAATCCTAACACACACAAAAAAACCCTAAACAAAAACAAACAACAAAACTAACAAAAACTAACGACTCTACCATAGGGAGACAGACAAATATCTACACTGCTAATGTAGATTGAAAACTAAATTGCAAAACTAAAGAAAATTAAGGGAAAAGGGTCGAAAATAGTCTAATTTCCGAAGAAATAGACTATTTCCCGCCTAAACGGCCAACAATTTGGAGAACCCTAGGAGAGAGGAGGAGAGAAGAGGAAAGGAAAGCGAGAGTTTCTATCTACAAAACCATATACATAAAAGATATACTTCAAACTCTTGTAATCAGTGAATATTTCAGTATTCTACTACCCTTTACACCATATAGGTAATGCCTCTATATTAACAGAAAGATTCAATACCCCCTGCTTAATTAAGTTTGAATATCTTTTTTTTTTTTTCCAATAGCAAATTCAGCTATTACAAACTAAGAAACACTTAAACGAGCCAAACTAGCTCTTACAAACCAACATAAACAAAAGCAAAAACTTAAAAACTTTTTAATCGACAAGTCTCGATTACTTGTTACCAAATCTGCTTGTCTTGGATCATACTTCTTAATAGGCACCACAGTTGAGATAAGGACGGAGCAAACATTGTTGTTGAAATGCAAAACCCATAGAGGCAAAAGGGTTGGTAAAAAGAGAGTGTCATGGCCACAGCGGGTAAAACGAGTCGCAACTTGCGACCCCGTACCATAAACAGGTACACGTAGCCTCTCCTCAAGAAGAAGGACTATAGATGACATGCTATGAACCCCCAAACTTTGCATTTGGGGAGCCGTTTCAGGGCAACAATTTGAAAAACCATTGCTCAATATTGTAATATTTAAAGAACAAGAGAAGTATTTAGCTCTTTTCAACAAAGATCCACCGTATGTATACTCTCCTAAATTTGTGAGTGTCTATAAAATCATATGGGTATAACTAATTAACTATGTAAGACCGAAGAAATAATAATAATAGTCTCTTCTCACTACTTTATAAGATAGCCCCAAATCTACTTTTTTCAGTTATTTAGGAGTTGGTTCATTAAAAGTGTGTGCGACTGTTTTTCAATAAATACAATAAATAAATAAATAAATAAATAAATAAAATAAAAATAAAAAATAAAATCTATAATATTTCCGTTTTAAATAAATGTATCAATTCTTTAAATTGAAACATCCTTCTATTTTAAAAATTTCTCTCACACCCCACAAACCCCACTTGCAATTTTACCATTTTTCTCTCTTTTCTTATGCATACTCAAATTCCCTTAAATAAAATGTCTCTTTACTCACCCTTAATTAATAAATTGTATTCTCAACTTGACCCGACACACTTAAATAATGATATATATACTCCCTGTGTTTTTGTAAGTGACACACAAGCAAATTTCAACGCATGTTGATACAGCTACAAATAAAACTTTAATAGTGTATTAACAAAAGTACTTAATTTAGTTCACCTATACAAAGTATT